GGTCTGCACAAACTAAGTTTAGCATAAACAAATTCGTGTATAAACACAATATGATTTGTTTTCTTGGTTTGAATTTCTCGACAAAGAAACTAACGCTGGTTGTTCATTGTTAGACTAGTTCTAGGTGTCCTTTGATGGCAATGTCAGAATTAGATGGTCTCGCCTGAATGGAATCAGATTGTCTTTTTTTCTTTTGAAATCACCTCAGAAACTGATTTTATGATTTTGGGTTTAAAGCAAAACCTGATCCCTTTTTGTATTAGAACTAACGTGCCGTTAAGAGTTAACGCTTTGACTATTTTTAAGTCTTGTTTTGCATAGTCAATATTAACTTGAGGATTAATTTTACTCAACTTCTAGTTGGGTATTAAAAGTGTTGATTACAAATAGTTGGGGAATTAAAAGTTCAATTTCCCATCATCACACTTGCATTTCTTGCTTCTTAAACGTAAGGGACAGACGGTCTTACTGTGTAGTATGAACAATAAAATTATAGTGTGAATAACCTGTCACCATGTGCAGAAAGGAAAGTTTTAAAAATAAATTTATATTTAAAAATAAAATTTAATTAATTTTTAAATTTATTATTTTATTACATTATTAAATTTACATTAATTATATGTAAAAATTAAGAGAAAATAAAAAGTTTTATTTAAATAAATGACAGTTCTCTCAAATAGAATTTTTTTAGGTTTTTTCATAAAAATAGATCTTAAAATTAAAATAACCAAAACAGTATTTTTTATTTTGAAAATTTCAATTTTATTTTTAAAAAAATTTGTAATCCTATCCCCAAAATCCCACTCCTCAACTTTAAACAAAAAAAGTTTATTTTTTGATAATACATTTAAGTATATCTTGGTCATTTTTATTTTAAGGTCTATATTTGTGATTAAACATTTAAGTATATCTTGGTCATTTTTATTTAAGGTCTATATTTGTGATTAAAACTTTTTTTTAGGTCTATCTTAAATTTTTTTCTTAAATTTATATTTAATAATATATATGTATCTTTTATCTTTTGGTTAAATTATATTAAATCAGATTCTATACTATTAAGAGAAAATTTTGTTAGATATATAATTATCAAAATATAAAACTAAATAATATTTCTAAAATTTATAGATGTTATAAATAAAGCTAATGGTATTGGGATTAGAAAATTTTAATTTTAAAAAATACTGCATAAAATTTTGAAAAAAAAAATTTATTAATAAAAATATTTAATTAAAAAAATACACTTAAAAATATTTCAATATTTGTAATATTATTATATTTATATTTCTACTATTATATTATTTATTATCTTAATGATAACTTATGAGTTCTTTTTCTTATCACTATTTTAATACAAATTTTTGTTTAATCAAACATAAAAATTAATATAAAAGTATTTTTGTTTATTTTAAATTATATTTAAGAATATGCTTGTAAATATTTAAAATTATAATCTTAGATAAATTCTTTTATCTATTTATTTTAATTAAATATATTAAATAAATTTGTAGAAAATTTTATAATTATCAAAAATTAAAATTCGACAATATTTATTAAATTTTTAAATATATAAGAAATTAATAATTTTAGGATTAAATTTTAATAATTTTCAAAAAATGTATACATTTTTGAAATTTTTGTAATCAAATTGTATAGTTTTAAAATATATAATTAAATGATATTTGCGAAATTTTTAATGCCATATTGGTATATACTTATTTTAATGATGATTTATTAGTTATTACCATATTTTAAAAATATTTCTAAAAATATAAACCAATATTAAATGTAATATATGAGTTGTTAACATATTCTATAAAGTTTTCCAAAAATATATACTAACATTAAATGTAATTGTCGATGTCATATTTAATCATATGCCATGTCATCAATTCTAATAGACATATCATTATTTTTTTGTGAAACTGATTATAGAGAGGACATGTGACAAAATCACTTCACAAATAATGTATAGGGGATTTCTAAAATATAAGTTTTGGAATGTTTCATACATAAGTAGTAAAGTAATATAAAAATGATTTTGTGCGATCGCCGACGAGAACCTTGTTTTCGGTCGCATATAGATTCAAAGCACCGACATGATTATAATGGAAATCCCACCATAGTGTGTGACCACTAGCCCATGTGATTTCTCGTTTCCTCATTTGAGTTTATATTTTGTTGGTCAAACCATTTAAATTACAGACTAATAAAATAAAGTTACAGAAGCAAATATTATAATAATGTTCTAACAGCTGTCTCATTAAACCCTCTTTACTTTATAAACAGAGAACCCTCTCTGGAGTCAATACCTCTCCCTCTGTTTACTCACTGTCGTTATGTTCGCGCCGCCACTCGCCACCGAGTCCTCTGTCCTTGAACCAATGGAGAAAGCCCTTGTCTCCGAATCAACCCTGAGTCAACTCGGATTCCCTAACGAGTTCCCTTACGAATTCGACTCTTTCACCTCCCAAGGAGACTCAACGGAGACGGAAGATGAGACAAGCGACGACGAAGATGACTTCTTTGCCGGGTTAACTCGCAGACTCGCCCTCTCTACTCAGCGCCTCCCTTCTCCTCCTCCTCCCTTCGTCAAGGTTTTTGAAAGCTTCACTCTTTTCAAATGTTATCTCCTAATGCAAACTAATCAATCTCTCTTCTTCAGATGAACTCGACTGAGTCAACTCGGAGTGGACTCGGGAGCTTGACAACCTCTGGAAACAAAAGTCCCAGCGGTCCGTTCTCGCTAGCCCCTTCAAGGCCGGAGTCTCCGTCTCTTGAAGAGGACTCTTTGAAAGTCATATCTGCTGCAGCTGGAGAAGTCGCCAAGATCAAAAGGGCGAATCTTGATTCAAAACCCAGTAGCCGCACAAACCCTAATCCTTTCGTCGTCCCCTACCCTCAAAACGCTGCGTTTGGTAGCTACTACTGGTGGCTACAGCAGCCCGCTTTGAACGCGTTTCCTTATCCTGTTAGAGGCGTTTTCCCCGTCCCAACCGCCGTGAAACAACCGTCTGTCGGTACCGGCTTTTTCACCGCCCCAACCGCCGTTAAACCTCGGTCTGTTGGGACCGGCGTTTTCCTTCCCAAGAATCATAGAAACCCATCAGATTCCCGGAAGAAAGGAGGTAACTTTAACCAATTTTTTCAATGGGTTTAAGTCTTGTGCTCCTTATTAGAATCTAAAATAAATACTTGTTTTCAGGAGGTGGATGTGTTAAGCTTCAGACGAAGGTTGTTCAGACACAACATCTTAAAAATGCAACATTCTCTGGTCGGTGTAACTCACGTTCGCAAGCTCGTCTTAGTACTAATTCGAACATTCCCAACCTCGATTCCAAAACTCAGTTCCCAAAGCTGCAGTAACGGTGGCTGTCTGAAGGAAGAGAGACATGTTCAACAAGAATGGATGTACTGTAGTATTCAGGACTTGGAAGAAAACAGAGATGGTCGTAGTTAGTGGGTTAGACTTATTGTCAAGATTGTGATGGTGTCTGGTTATAGTGAAGAAGAATTGTGTGGGGGTGAATTGGGTTGATGATATTTATTAGTTATTACTTCATTTATATTGTTGATTAGGGGAATAACCAAATTAGGGTTTCATAAGAACTATTTTTTGGTGGCCTTGGGAGGAATTTTCAGCTGCTCTTCCTTGGGTGAAGGTTTTGTGTTTGTAGTAGTAGTTGCAGTGCAGTGCAACATGGAGGGTGTGTTGAGAGTACTTTAGGGTCTTCTCAGCACTTTTTGGAATCTATGGGGTTGCAATAAACGCTCTGTAATTTTTGTTTTGTTGGTTTGTTTGAATAAGTCAAGCTAAGTTTGTAGTGAATCATAGTAATAATGGAAAAAGATTGCATCTGGAAGTACTTTTTCCTACATTTACTAATCGACTATGAAAGTTTGAAATCTTTAAGTCTGATAGATTTGAGATCTCTCCTTCATTTATCAAGACCCTTAAGGGATTAATAAAAGTAGAGTGTAGAGAAGATCCATCTCAAAAGAGTTATATTTGAGAACGGTTTGCTATATATTTGTTGGAAAGAAATATTGCATAATTCTGAGGAGGATATGGAATTGGCATATAGAGAAGAGAGTATAGAAAACGTGTGAGGCACTCATCAAACTTTTGTAAGTTATGTTTATAAACCTTTCTCTTAGAATAATAATTTTAATTGTTTGAGTTGTATATGATCGTTCATCCTTTTGAAAAATGAATATTGCATTTAGCCATTTAGGGATGAGAAGACTTAAAACCATGAAAAAGTTCGTTAAAGTTACCTCCTCTCTTCCGGTACTTATAAGCTTAGGTTTTTAGGTGGTGTGGCTTTTGTTTAGTGTCCGGGGATGTCTGTTTCTAGTCGGCTTATGGTTTTGAGGATTGCATGTAATCCGCTGGCTTTGGTTCCGAGAGTTTCTTTTATACGATGGCTTTATGTTCTTTTTCTGCATATGTTCTAGTTAAGGTATAATAGAACTTTTCAGCGAGAAAAAAATCTATAATTATGTTCCAACCTTAAACAACCT